AAATGATTTTCATGCATAAAGGTGATTTAAAATAATTATTTAATATTATAAAGATATAAAAAGTCATTTTCTGTATAGATAATGTAGTTATGCATATGTAGGGGCTATTTTTGCAAAATATGCAATTATAGTCTTTAAAATGCAAATATAATTATAAAAAATACAATTAAAATATTTGAACACTCATATGAACATAAATGATGAATTCAGATGATTAAATCATCATAAAATAATATGAGGATTAGTTTTGAACATTTATGTGATTAAAAAATACATAAATGAATGGATTTAGGGCTTTTAAAAATTGTAGAAAAATTGTCAAAATACTTGTGCATTCTTGTAAATGCATGTACAATATTTTGAAAGTGTGTATGCATATTTTAAAATATATGAGGGAAATATTGGGTATCGACAATGTCCTTTTCCATGCTATCCCAATAATGCCCCGCTCTGGTCACCTTCCGAACCAAAGAGCCGGCGCCTGAATGGTTCCCACAAGTGCCCTTGTGGATTTCTCGTAATGCATAATCGGTGTCCCCGAGTCCCAAACACACCACCAATGGTCCATCGAAGGTTCTTCCATACAACGTTCCATTTTCATCGAGTGAGAATCAAGCTGCTTTGGCTCGAAGTGCCCTTTACTCTTTTTAGTCCGTGGGAAGCTTCCCATGCTTCAGATAGTTGATGTACTTATTCCTCCAATCCCACGTTAAACTTGTTGAATTAATTTTTGCATGGCCTTCTTCGACCACCGACCTTGATAATTGGACGACAGTCCCCGGGACGATATCATCCTCTTCAACCGATGACCCCAAGTTTGCTAGTGCATCGGCCTCGCTATTCTGTTCTCGAGGTACATGGTCCAGTGTCCATTCCTTGAAGCGGTGCAGTGTCACTTGAAGTTTGTCTAAGTACCTCTGCATTCGATCGTCTCGAACCTCGAAGCTCTCGTTTACTTGATTTACCACCAAAAGGGAGTCACATTGTGCCTCGATGACTTCTGCTCCAAGGCCCTTGGCTAGTTCGAGACCTGCAATCATAGCCTCATACTCGGCCTCATTGTTAGTTAATTTAGAAGTTTTGATAGATTGACTAATGACACCGCCCGTAGGTGGTTTAAAGACGATACCGAGCCCGGACCCTTTCACATTTGAAGCACCATCTGTGAAAAGGGTCCATACCCCCGATGACATACCCGTTTTTAGCAAGAGTTCCTTTTCTACTTCGGGTATTAGGGCTGGCGCGAAATCGTCCACGAAGTCTGCCAAAATTTGAGACTTGATAGCCGTTCGAGGCTGATATTTGATATCATACCCTCCAAGTTCGATGGCCCATTTGGCCAGTCTGCCCGATAATTCGGGCTTATGCAAGATACTTCGAAGTGGGTACGTGGTNCATTTTTATCTAAATCATTGTAAAACTAAAAACGTAGACTAGTTCAATACTATCACTACTGGAAAATGAGCCTATTGCGAACAGCCGGAAAACCGTTGCAACAGAAGAGGTACACCGTTGCCATAGAGTTATTGGAATGGTTTAGCGACCGTTACATACGCTGCCGTGCCAGTAGATCTAGAGTAACGGTTCTTGCAACGGTTACCCAAACCGTTGCTTAAGGGATAT